GGCGCGGCGGGAGTGAGACGGCGCGGCGGGACGGCCGGCAGAACCCGGCGGGAAGGAGGCGGAGGAGGAGAAGGAGGAACGCGGGGGTCAGCCCGCTAAGCCGGTCAGGATGGATAAGTACGACGATCTGGGTCTGGAAGCCAGCAAGTTCATCGAAGACCTCAACATGTACGAGGCTTCCAAGGACGGTCTCTTTCGGGTGGACAAAGCCGCCGGCAACAACCCCGAGTTCGAGGAGACCAGGCGGGTCTTTGCCACCAAAATGGCCAAGATCCACCTCCAGCAGCAGCAGCAGCAGCAGGAGGAGATGCTGATGGCCGCCCTGAACGGAGGAGCTGCTTTCAACCCCCCCCGGCCCAGCCCGCCGGCGGCACGGGGTGCCAAACCACCCCCGGCCTCCGCCGCCGAGGGGCCTCGCACGAGGCCGTACGATAGTGGGGAGCGCGGCTTTGGCGAGAGCGGGCCGCGCGCCGAGGCCCCGGGGAGCCAGGCCGGGCGCCGGGGCTGGGAAGCGGAGCCCGACAGGATCCCCAGAGCGGGGGGCTTACGTCCCGGCGTGGGGCATGGGGAGCAGCAGACCGGGAGCCCCGGCGACCCCCAGCCCTGCCGCGGCGGGCAGGAGAACGGCAGCGAGGGCAGGCGGTGTGGCGGGGGCCGTGACCCGACGCCAGCCGGGCAGAGGTCCTCCTCCTTCTCCCATGCCCGGACCCCCCCGGCACCCTCGGCGGGATCAGAGGAGGGGGCACTGGGGGCACTGCTGCAGCAGAGGTCATCCTCCTTCTCGGCCCCCTCGGTGCAGCCCGCCCGGGGGTTTTCGGGCCCCGCCGAGCCCTGTGGTCCCAGGGCCGGAGGGGACGTCAACCAGCTGTGGTACCAGGGTGTCCCGCTGTCCTTTTCCTCCAGCTCTGCGCCCGCCGCCCCGAGCGTGGACTACCAGCACACCACTGCCTACCCCAGCCCAGCTGGCCACTTCGTGGCCCACGGTCAAAACCACCGGCCCAACGGCAGCGGTGCAAGCCCAGAGCCGGGCTCCTCACGCCTGGCTTCGCTTGGGCCGACGGCTCCGGATGCCCCACAGCCGCTTTTCCCAGAGGGTGTGAGCGGCCCACGGTCGGACGCCGGGCACCCGGAGGGCTCCAGCACGGTGAAGGTGAAGCTGCCCTGCCAGACCCTCCTTCCACAGCCAGAGCAAGGGCCGTCGGCGGCCGAGCTGAAGCTGGAGGCACTGACCCAGCGCCTGGAGCAGGAGATGGATGCTCGGCCAAAGGCTGATTACTTCGGTAAGGAGGCAGTCCGCCAGTCGGTGTGAGAAGCGTTCGTTGTGAAGTGTCACTGCAGGGTTCGCACCTGCAGGGTTCCCTTTGCCTGTACTCCTGCTTCATTGTGCTTTTTCAGCTGCTCGGGGGGGTGGTTGTTGTTTAACTTTTATTTATCACAAGGACTGGAAGCTCTTCCTCCTGCAACATTTTTTTCTTTAATCCTACTTCTTAACTTTTAAAGCAAAGGTAGTTTAGCAGCTTTGGAGAGGACAGCGCCGAGAAGAAGCTGGAACAGCGTCTTTTGAAGTGAGTGCCCTTCGCTGCCAGCAGGGAGGCACTTCACTTTTCTTGACAGTACTCCTGGTTCTATGCGTCTTAAAAGTACACTGCCTGACGATGTGTGGGCAAGAAGGCAGCCGTTCAGCCTGCGTACGCTGTGGGCACGGAGAAGGACACAGAGTTCGAGGGAGGCTTGGTGGTAGCCCCCCCCATGGAGGTGGCCATGGCCAGGTGTGCTTGTGAGATCAGTTGAAGAGAAGTTTCTTGAGGATGGGAAGGGTGGTGGCTTCCCAAACTTGCCAGGATTTCCCCCAGCCCCCAGTGCTGGTCCCCATCAGCTGTGAAAGGATGGGTGCATCCTGAAGGTGGCAGAAAAAAAGGCCATAGGCACATTCCTCCCTAAATCTTGGGTCCGTGAGTAGTCCAGACCACCAGAGGTTATCGCTGGCGCTTGGCCCTGAAAAGGGACCGCTTACATGCGAGGATCTCCCAGTGAGGATATTAAATGTCCTGCTGGATTAAAACAATTTACTACCCCAGGATGGCAGAAGGTCAGGAGCAAATTGAGCGTTTCCTTTCCCTGTTGCGCCACTTTGCCATTTAATAGCAGGTGAGATGATAGTTCAGCTTTTGGGAGAAGGAAACCCAAAGTTGCTGGAAAGGCCGAGAAATCCACCATTAATTTAACAAACATCAGGAGCAGATCTAGTGCATGGATTTTCCTCATGTTTTTAAACCCACGGTCACAGAAGTAGAAGCAGGAGCAGATTAAACTCTAGAGCCTGGTGTGGAGGAAGGGTTTGCAGCTCAGGCTGCACAGGTGCCGTTGCACGGGGTCCTGTCCGGTGGGCTCGGTGGGTGGCTCAGTGGTGGTCTGTGCACACAGGAGCAGCCGTGAGCTTCACGCCGGGCTTCAGGGACGTAGCTGGAGGGACCACCGAGTGCTCAGCTGCAAATTGCATAACCAAATGCATTTCTTGGCATCGGGCGGTGGTACTTGCCCGCAGAGGGCTGTGCTGGGATTGTTTATCTTAGTGTCTGAGACTGGATTCAGCCTTGTGGCAGGGCAGACGTGTTTTTATTCTGTTGCAGAAGAGTGATGTGTTGAGTTGCTGTACTTGGAGCGTTTTGGCCCGGAAACATGTTTTGGCACTTTCTGTCCTGCGCGGGCGGCGCGTGGTTTGAATGAGCTCAGGGAGCCTCATCGGAGGGGGGGCAATGCTGAATGCCGTGACAAGGAGCTGATAACGAAAATGGGGTTGGGACAACAGTCTGGTGGGAGGCGGTGCTCAAAAATGGGAATATTTTGCTGGAGGCGGCATTCAGCTCCACTGGAGAGGTGTCAGGGGTCTCTTCAGCAGACCCTGCTGTGTGCATCTTCTCCTCATGATGCAAGTAAACCAGCTGGATCATACCTCATCCAAAACGTGCATGGGGATGGATGCGGTGAGACAGCAGAGGGACCTAGTCGGTGGTTGGATTATTTTTACATTTTTTGTCACAAAATAGGGGGTAGCGCCAGGGGGAGGCTTTCATCCTGCAGGAAATTTGTGGTGAAGCTGGAGTAATTCTGGCAGCGCGGAGAATGCTGCTGGTCAGGCGGCTGAGTTACTGGTGAGCCTGGTGCGGGAGGGAGGAGAGATGGAGCCTGCCTGGTCCCCAGTGAGGCCTTTTGACATCCTCCTGGCAGGAGGTTTTACACCAGGGTGTAGCATCTGAGAAATTTGGGAAGGAGGAGAGGGGAAAACAAAACGATGCAGTTGTGGCAGAGGAAGAAGTCAATTTTTATGGAGCCTCAGCTCTGTGGGGGAAGGCTCAGCAGATCTGGCCTGTGGAGGACCGAGGAGCAGGAAGGGGCAAGTACCCAGGCATTTTAATTCTGGGTCTCCTCCCCTTTTCTTTCTCACTTTTATTTTCATTTTTTCAGTTACCTTACTTCCTTTGGAGGAATAAAGGACCTGGCTGGTCTTCTGAATCTATCTTGGCTATGCCCTACCCTCAAGCTAGCAAACTTTAGGATGGAAAATAAATACTTTTATGCAATAGTGATAAAAAGGATCAACAGCTTGTTTTGTTGCAGACTTTCCCCCAGTGAGGGGATGGCTAATGTAGCAGCTTTGTGGTACATCGGAGCCAGGAAATGAAACCAGGACTGAAGTGCAAATGGCCAAAGTATTTTATCTAAAATGCTTTCGGCTCTCCTAATTTTGGGTGCTGCTTCTGTAACAAGGGGATTTTTTTTAAGATGGGTCTGTCTGTCTTGTTAACATACCGTCCTTCAGTCTGTCTCGGTCTGGACCAGTTGTTTATCATGAGCAACTAATTCTGATCACAGTAAAAGAGCTGCTTTTTCCTTCACTATGTGAAAATGAGTGTTTGTAAATTAAAGCCTAGGAAAGGATAAGCTAGGGACTAGGCATACACAGGTAGGATCTCTGCTGAGGAATAACAGACGGTCTGGTTATCTGTCAGCACCAGTTGCTGTACAAAATACTTTTGTCTGCTCAGAATATGTGTAGTAAGTGAAAGGAAAGAAGGAAACAAAGCCAAGAATTTTCTTTTTTCTTTTTTTTTTTTAAATAGTGGCCTATGTGTGAGCAGCATGGGCTGCATGTGTCTCTGGAGGAATTTGGGCTCTCCAAGAGTGCTTTTGAAGTGCTGACTTGATTTATGTGGGCTGTCGAGGAGGGTGTAGGGAGTTTCAGGTATCACCCAGGTCTTAAGCTTGGGGAGGGAAATCCTGAAATCACTGCCTAGAGAGGCTGGTTCCCGTGAAGCAGAGAAGGGGCCCCATGTCCCTGGGAGGTGTCGCGGGAAGCCAGCTTAGGTCGTATTCAGGTGTTTGGTGTACCGTTTCCAGGGAACGTCCAGGAGTGAGGTGCCTGAACCCCACTGATGTTCCATGGTGTTCCTTTGGATGCACCAGCCTTCATCTCCACTTGGCGAACGGGAAGATTCATTGAACAGGAGTGAGCGGGGGAGCTGCAACTCCCCTGCTAGCAGCACCCAGTGCAACGCAGATGTTTTGGGTTGGGTGAGGCGGCACCATCCCGAGGACTGGTGCCGGATGAGTTTTCGGGTGAGAGCTGGGCAGGTGCACAAGCAAACCAAGCGTCTGCCTGCACTGTCTGGAAGTGACGTGGTAGAGGAGAGGCCTGGGGTCTGCAGGGAGGTTTTACCATTCCTGTTTTAGCAGAGGCTGTGGTACCATGCAGTTCCTTGGTCTCCAGGCACAGATGAGTGCTTTTAGAGGTGTAATGTGTAGCATCATGGTTTTACCAGTGCTTATTTCATACAGCTAGGTGGAAATCTCCATCTGATGAATGCTATCTACACCCTTACCAAGAGCTTTTTCTAAAACAATTTTATAAATGGTTTTCTTGTTAGAAATATTTGTTAGGTGTTAAGTTCTGACTCCCTTATTATTTCGAGCAGAGCTGATAAGCTGCAGGTATTTTAGGAGAGCCCCAGGCATCTTGTTTTGCAGAGAAATACTGGGATGCTTCCCAGCAGTCTGGCAGAGAAGATCTCGTGGCTAAGTCTGCAGATTTCTTTTCCCCTTGCCAGAAGCGGAGCAGTAGCTGAATCGCTGAACTCTGTGGAGACCTGGAATGCCAGCACCTTTGAATGGGTGTGATCGGCTTGAAGGCCAGCAGTGCTTTTTTGAAGTCTAGTGCATAGTGAAGTTAGTGTTTTATCATTGCCGAAACCACAATTTACTTAATTTTCAGGCTGTATGCACCTGCAGACTTTACTGAACCCTGCTGCTGATGGTGCACCAGGGTGCTTCAGCAGCAGCAAGAGTAATTTCAAGGCTGCCAAGTGGAGAATTTCTGGTTAAAATGAAAGTTCTTCTGAGGTTTGTTTTGTATGTGGGTGATGATAATGGCGTTGTTTCCACCGGGAATGAGCGGAGGCATCCCTTGCTGCCTGCTTCTGGGAGAACACTGCAGCTGGAAGGAGATGCCTGCCTGCAGCGGAGAGGAGCAGGAGGCAGGGCGAGACAGGTCTTGGTGGAACAAGGAAAGCTGGAAGGATCACGGCACGTGGACTAGTGGGTGTGTGCAGATTGCAAAGCTTATCTCACTGCGAGAAACCAAGCAAATAAGTATTTGCCTGGGATACGGCTCTTCAAGATTACAGCAGCATGTGCTTCTCCTCCCTTCCTCTTGGGAGCTCAGCTGGGTTTGCAAGCTAAGGAAAAATCTACCAAAAGGAAAGAAAAAGGAAGGAGTCGAGGCAGAGGAGCAATAGGTCATTCAGCCAGGATACTGTGGCAGTGGAGACTGAAAGGAATAAGGAGCCTCATTTATGTGGCACTGGAGTTAACATAATCTCTGACATTGCTATAAGGTACTTAAAATGTCACTGATGTGAGTTTGATGGCATTTTTGTACTTCGCTGGCAGTGTGTACACGACTGTCTACAGCAAAATCGGGGGTCAAGAACAAAGCGTGCAAAAACAATACAGGAAAATTTACCAGCTCTCTGGTTCTTTGGGCAGGGAGTACCTGTACATGTTTGCTACCATTGAGTCACCCAGTCACCCAGTGGTGAACGGGACCAAACTACCAGGTTTTCCAAGCGCTCGATCTCACCCGGGCCTCTAGATCTCCTTGAAATCAGCTCTCCGGCAAGAGCAATTGCACAGTAGTGGTTAACAGCATAGCGAGACACACAATGTGTCTAATTTAGAGTTTGACGTAGAAATTACTTGGTTAAGGTGAGCCACGGGGAGGTGGCATCAGGTTCTGGAGAAGGTCTGAAGTAAAACCTGAAGAACTGAGCATCACATTGGGTATGACAGGGTGAAGTCTTTTTCTCAGCGGACAGTCTTTGAAAAATGGATGTCGAAGTGGAGGACTTGGTTCTGCTGTTATGAATAGGTGAGTTGGAAATGCAGAGGCTGTACCTTCACAAGGGTCCTCCCCATCAGAGCGGGAAAAGAGGAACAAGGTAAGAGTTCCCCTGCCAGCTTTCCTCTTGCCCACTCTGATGGGGAGGACCCTCATGAAGGTACAACTTCTGCCAAGAGGCATCCGGGTCTACTTCTGGACTAGCCGCGTGCGTGTCTGGGCAGATGGAAAGATGATACCAGAGGTATTTACGTGCAAAGGCGCTGGGGGTTTCTTCCAAATGCAGCTGGGGGTTCTTCAGCATAAATCCAGCCTCCTGTAAGGAGGGGGCAAAAAACAAGTTATGTGTGATGGAGAAGAGTCAAGCTGATCATGGAAATGTGGCTTGCATGGAGTAAGTGGAAGGGGAGGACAGACTTACTCTTCTAAGTGCTGTTTCTGCATTAGCTACGTATGCAGACCCACACCACCAGAATCATCCTGCCGCTGCACTGCTTTTATCTGAGACCAGATTGACATGGTGAGGAAATCTCACCACTGAAGTAGCAGACCGTCACATTTGGCCCTCCAAAATTAAGTGACGGTCTTAGAAAACCCGACCAGGAGCACATGTAGGAAAGCTTGGCTGTCCTGGATGTTGCTAGAAGGGGGATGCTGCTGAAAAAAAGGGGGATGCTGCTGGAAAAACCCGCAACTGTGTTCCGGGTTTGTAGACAGATGATGTCTGGCATGCAGAAATAAATCATACTGACCAGTCCCAGAAAATGCTGCTCTTCAGCATGGTTTGCGTTGGATTTTTAGCGAGTGGGATATAGTAAGTAACTGAGCTCCTTCTGGTAAAAGTGAAATAGCAACACTTTAGAGGAAAAAATGTCTCTCTAAAGGCTTTGAGTCCGGCGGTAAATGGAAATGCACTTGTTGAACTTTGAGGGTGGGACAGACATTTCAGACTGAGCACCGGGTTCACTTTCATTTCTGACAGCCCTTGAGGTCTGCATCGGACCTGTGAGCCGAGGCTGTTCCCGGTGGCAGCCCTCCTTCTGGTTTGCAGTGCTGAGATGGAGTACGGCGAGCGCTGGGAGGTGGCTTACAGGGCATGTTTTCGGTCCCAGTTCTGCCCCAAAGGTCCCTTTGTTCAGGCGCTCAGCTGCAGCGCGGGCGGTTGCTTGCCGCATGATGCGAAAGGGAACAGAGATTTCTTTGTTGTCCGGGGCCCGGCTGCCCTGCCGGCAGAAATTGAGCCGAAATCAGCAATTTCCATCCCTTTCCCTTTCCAAATCTGGCTACCATTCTGCCGGTGCGCTCGAGCGTGAATTTTCCGGCGCTGCGCATGTGCGGTACTTTGGGCTTGTCATCCCAGTGGCAAAAGAGAAACCTTTCATTTCTCCTTAATAACGCCTTAATAATGTCATCTGATGTTAGAAGTTGTAATTTCGGAGGGGATATCTGCTCAGATCGGCACTTAGATAAGCGCTCGTTATGTGCAGGAAAGCAACGGAGTGCAGGAGTTGGGCATCTTGCTGAGCTGTGGCTACTTGGGATCCCTCTGCTTCGAGCTAAGGACAGAGGTTTTTGCTAAAAGCTGCTCTATGCCAAGAAAATTACCCAGAGCTGCTGACTAGTGTCAGCGGCATGTGGGGCTGGACTGATGCTGCTGACATTTTAACTCTACACCCTGGCTAGCAGAAAGCACGCTCAGCACTGTTTCGGGAAATAGTCGTCGGAGCTGGCGCGGAGCAGGGCGCAGAGCCTGTTTTGCTGCGGGATGGGGTCGGATGTGGCCTGTGCTGCGCTGCTTTCCTTCAGGCTGGCTTCACACACGTGTTGCCGAGCTCAGCGACTGGCTGCTGTCAGCAACAGGTATCGCTTTTTCCTTGCGTAGCCTAAGCCGAAAGAACAGGATCGCTGTGGCAGCGGGAAGCGAATGGAAAAAAAAAAGTGGAAAGGCAAAATCAATACAAAATCACTTTTTTCCCCCCCCTTTCAGGCCAGGTGTGCTGAGTCAGAGATGAAGGCTCAAGTATGTTGCTTAAAATACTTCAGAATATTATATTTGGAAGAAGCAAAGACTTAATTCTAGAATAATTCCAATTGCTACTGAGATTTAATTGGCTTTCAAGTAAGATTTAGCAGATACAAGTAAAAACATGAACTATACACAGATTTGCCATGATGCCATTTTTCAATTGTCAGCCTTGCCACAGGACAGCTATAAATATTTATAGCATGGCTGGTTATTACATAGTGGGGTAATTTAGCACATTATAGTTTTTACAGACAACATTGTCAATTTATTTTAAAGGCCCTTTCATTCTGTGACTTTATTTTCCATGTTTTAAAGGCCTAAATATTGAAAGAAGTGGATAAAAGGGTTAAGCAGGGGTTGAAGTGGAGCATGTACTGAAAGCAGGGAGGAGGGATGGGGGGGTCGAGGGGCGGACGATGGAGGAAGGTTTGGGTACAGATGCGGTTGTGGGAGCCCGGGCAGCTCCTGCAGGATCCGGCCGAACTATGATCTGTCCCGTTGGGGAAACCACAGGGGCAGTGCCTACGCTCTGAAGCTTAAATGGGATGGACGGGAGACAGCAGAAGCAATTTCTGCCCTCCATTTGCATTAGGGTATTTTATAGTGGCTTTAGATGCCTGCTGACATCTTTACCAAGTGCTGCGCCTGCACTCAGCTGCTGTGCCTTCTCCCTCCTGCTTCTTCTTGCTGCTCATCCATATTCAGTGTCACCCGGCTGCTTTCTGGAAAGGAGGAAATCAGAGCACACTGGTGATTTTTTCTGGAGCAGCTGCTCATTGGCACAGAGAAGGGGAAAATGCAGCACTTGCAGTGCAATAAATACATTGGTTCTATGGAAAGCCTGGTGAATGTCGTGGAAAGAAGGCTTTGAGCAGCAAAAATTGGCAGGTTTTCCACTCTCAAAACTTTCTGCTCAGCATTGCTGTAGTCAGGAGGGAGTTTTGCAAGGTAGCCATTAGCTCTTGTGTCAGATGATTGCACAGCATCTCAGGCTGCCGCTGAACATATGCATTCCTGGGAGGACACATCCATTTGAAAAGCCAAATGTTCTTATCTTTGTCTTGTCCTTTATTTCCTTTTTTTTTCTTTTTTTTTAAAGCCTGCATGATTTATCTTTTGCTTTCTTAAAATCTTTCTTTCAATAAATGAGATAAATCTGCTTGGTTCAAAGAGAACCAGCAAGTTTTGCTAACTTGGTGCCAGACTGCGTGCTGGGGTGGACCCGCAGCCAAGCTAGCATTTTAGTTCAGGTCAGATTTGGACAAAACAGAGCAACTAATTATTCTCTGCAGCCTTCTCTCCAGGTTTGTGTCAGTTTGGACTCTGGCTCTGAGTGCAGGGGGCTTGGAGCAGCGCTAGGATGGCTTTCAGCTTGCTGGTTGAATGCATGCGGGCAGCTGCAGCACAGAGAGCCAGGTCTGCTCCGGGAAAATGAAGTGTCTGCTTTTCAGCAGCCATGTGTGCGCGACTGCAAAGGGCTCCTGAGCATTTTTATCCCTGTAGTGTGAAAACTGACGGCCGCAGCTATCTGCTGCAGGAAGAAATTGTTAACCAACCTGGGAGTGCCAGCGTGGTGCTGCCGGAGTTGGGATTTACTTTTCAGTGCTGTCGTAAGTACGTTGGGCTTCTTCCTGACTTTCACCAGACCTTTCCAATTACTCCAGAGCTTGCGGTGCCCCCAAAGAAGTGAAGTTTTGTTAACCACGGCATGACTAAGGATCTCCAGCAAGATAATGCTTGGGTAGATCTGTGTTTATTTGCTTAAACACAGATTAAAGTTGCTCATTTGGAGTAGTAATGGGTGATGCTGCTTTAAAACCAGTCTGGTACAATCACAGGGTAATGCCTGAAGTACATACACAGGCTTGATGTGTCATTTTCCTTGGACAAGGACTTTCTCTCCCCGGCCACTACTAGTGGTTTTGGGCAGCCTTGCTGCGTTTCTGCCTGCATATATAACGGTTGCGGGGAAGGATGGGAGAATGAAGGAGATGTTGCTGTAGCCAGACACAGCTGTTCTTGTTCTTGTGCAGTTTACTTTTTTGCAAAAGGCTTTCACCATGGAGGTTCGACGGCCGTCGTGACCACTGTTAACAGCCTGTCTCAGGGCGGGTGACGCTGATGTCACCTACATCTTGTGGCTTCAATGAACCGCCTGGTCCTCAGCTGCCAAGCCACCATGCTGAATTACAGGTGTGGTTGCCCAGCCAGTGACCCCAGCTGTCCCACCAGGTCCTGCTCCTCACCTCTGTCTCCTTCTCTCTCTTCCAGGCACCTGCGTGAAGTGCAGCAAGGGGGTGTACGGAGCAAACCAGGCTTGCCAGGCCATGGGCAACCTCTACCACGACGGCTGCTTCACCTGCGGAGCCTGCAGTGAGTACCTCCTGCCGCCGGTGCCACCAGTGCCGCTGGTGCAGGGCCCTGGGGCAAACTCTTCAGGCTTAGCATTTTTCTGGTGTAAAGAGGGAAAAGAAGGAGGTGGTTATTGAATTATCTGTCAGCTGGAGTCTGCCACAGCTGTATGTCTTTGTGGCGGTGGTTGCTGTTTGTTTTTGAATGGATTCTAGCAAGGCATGTAGAAAAGATATTTTGGATTGTGCCGGCCGTCTGCCTTCTGGTATGGGGGACGGTTGTTTTCATTCCTCTGCCTCTCAGTTACAGCCACATTTTCTTACTTACAAGAGTATTTTTTTCAAAGTGGCAGTGAATATGCCTTAGCTAGCATGTAGAGGGTTTTTTATTGGTCAGCTGAGACTTTACAGCCTTTCTGGCCTTTCAGTGTGCGGACCGCAGGGAGAGCCGCCGGATCGGCACCGTGCCGAGGACGCAGGCAGGGCGCGAGCATCGGCAGTGGGCTCCGTGAGTGCCAGAGACACCTTTTCAGATGGAGCTGCTGCACGGTCGGTCCGGTGACGGTGCTTTCACTGCATGCATTAGTTTTATGTGCTAAAATGATTTTGCCCTTCTGAGGGACCTCCGGTCAAAGCATCTAAGTGCATGAATGACCCAGGTTACACATCTTGCTTGTTCTTTCTCTGGAGAAATGGAGAGATGCCCCAAGATGAGGGGCATGTCTCTGCCAGCTTGCTTTCTGGTCATTGCAGGGAGGGAGCTGGGTATTGTGCCAGAGGTATCAGGCTGGGAGCAGCAATGATGAGCCCTCTGAAATCTGCCCAGGAAGCAGGGTAAATAGTTCAGCTGGCCCTGCTGAGCTCCCTGCCGCTTGTCAGACCCACATCTGAAGCTTGCTGGCGCATACAGCATGCTGCAACATGTGGATCCTCCTAAGCGGCTTTTTGAGGAGGTCCGTGATGGAGCTGGCGTGAGGAACAGGCCACATGATTTCAAATCGTGGCTGTGTTTGTAAGACAGTGGTTTTTCTATTTTGTTGTGTTTAACTCTAGGGCTAGCAGAGTATTTTTAGAAATGGAGCTGTATATGTGGTGGCAGAAAAAACAGTAATAATCCTTCTAGTGCTTTTGTATATGTGAGTTTGGTTTTCCCAGGTGAGTCTTAGGTTTTTTCTCCTGTGTTGTATTTAGAGTTGTAAACTCATCAGGACTGCATGTGTTTTATTTGGAGCTGTAAAGTGGGAATAAATATAGAAAGATGTGTATGCTTTTTAATAATAGCTGAACCTTGAACTCTGCTCATTTCCCAGCTGTCCGACACCAGCTGCTTGCCTCACCTATGTTTTCAGTAGAGCACTTCACCGTCATCTGACCGAAGACAGAAAAATGGCAAAGAAAAAGTGGTGTTTGCACGTGGTGGCAGTTTCCTAAAGGCTCAGAAGTCAGCAGCTCACTCTTTTGTCTTCTCTTATAAATTAATTCGAACTCTTCTCCCGCAGAGAGGATTCCTGGCTGCAGCCAGGGCTTTGCTTCAGGGAGCTCTTGCTCTCCGTGGCTGGGCAGCCTCCGAACTGCCCTTGCACACAAAGCTCCTGTTAAAAATAATCCAGCAGCAGGTTCGAGCTGTCTTAAATTTCTAAAATTACTACTGTGCAACTGGTGCTTTAGAAAGAAACACTTTCAATCCCCCTTTTAGAACGGATTTTACCACCTTTATTTGGAGACGAGCGCTAGAAAAGTATTTGCGGTTGCAGAGGTATCAGCGGTTACTTCCGTTTATCTTTGTTTGTGTTTGGTTAAAAAATAGCTTAATCAGGTTTCTGATGAGGTGGGTTGGTGAAGGCTGAAAGAGTAGCTATTTGCTGCTTATTCTAAAAGGCAACCCTTTCCAAAGATTTCCAATGCAAGATGAAAAGGTGTGGGTGTCAGATGAGACTTACAAAGCTAAGTTTAGCAAAGTGAAGCCCATTTTCTCTCTTACCCAGGCTGTAACTGAGAAGTGTGCTGAGGAGATGTGCTGGGGCAAAGGGTTTCAAATGGAAAGTAAAAAAAAAAAGGCTCGTAAAACACTGTGTTTCCATACGAGATAAAAAAGGGGAACGCAAGTCACGGGAGTATAAGCGAGAGCCTAATTCGGCTTGTTACGCGCGGGAGAGTAGTCACTCCTGAAAGCTCAAGTCCTTCCCACTGGGGCAGCGGCCGTACCAAGACGGAAGCTGGACGCGGCGGCGGCCGGCAGGACGGCGCGGATGGATGGAGGGGCTGGTGGCGCGGGATTCCCAGCACTCGAAGGAGAGCGGCCCCCGCAGTAGCGGCGTTTCCCTCACACGGCACGCGCCTCTACGAGTAGCAAGGCTGGTGAGAAACCCTCCAGCACAGGGGGTGGTTTCCTGCGCTGCCGCCCCTGCGGTCCGCAGGGGCTTCGTGCACCAGTCGCTTGCTCCGGGGCTTTGCTGCCCGGCTGCTTGTGCTGGTAAAGGCGTAGCTGGCTGACTTTTCAGGAAGCCTCTTTGCGTCGCAGCTGTTTAACTGATGCCTGGGGTGGTACGTGCCGTCCCACCCTGCGCTCGGGGAGGAAACGTACCCGAGGGGAATCCCCCCGTTCACAGACCGAGGTCATTTCCCTGACCCCCCCGGACCATCCGCTGCTACGGGGATGAAGGGCACGCAGCCCTGTCGTTTGCCCGGAGAGAGCGCGTTGCCTCTCTGCAGGCTTTCTGTCATCTGGGTCGCTGCGGTAAATAGGATGAGACCATTTTATCTGCCAGAAAAATGCCTATTTGTCTGGACGGTGTTGTCTGTCTAGCTGGAAAGCACGTCTTTGAGCAGTCTATGTGGAAACTCTGATTTCTAGCTAAAAAGTAGGTAGTGCTTTTAAGGTCAAGTGGAGTTCATCTTGAACACTATCCAGTACAAACTTGTCTTTGAGAAGTCAAGGTCAACCACAATTTCAATCCTAAAATTTCTGCTCTGGTGGAACGCTGAATATCTCCACTCCAATAAATAAAATACACAAAATTACCTATTAAGGTAAAGCATATTGTCCTCCAGATATTTATATCCGCTGTCCTGCTGTTTTCATTTTAGTGAGGATTTCTAATTTTGCTCGTAGTTGGATTTGTGTCCAAATGTGCATTGGTTTCCCAGATACAGAAAACTGAGAGGGTCTAAGGGGGTCAGGGGGGTGGTACCTCATAGTGCCAAATTTCCTACACTCTCTGTTTCCTGATACACATATGTTCAAGATAAATGATAGAGCAATTTGTTGAGCAGAGCTGCGCATATGTTACAGGGTTCAGTTGTCAGGAAAAAAAAAATACTGTTTTATCTGAGCCACTGGCATGTAATGCAGAAAATTTGGCTTAGAGGTCAAAACAACAGATTTAGAATGATTACTTTGGCATAAATGTCTCATTTATCTTCTTGTTTGTTACAGGGCAGAGACACAAACAAGGCAGCTTTTTGCAGAGGGGGAGAGGAAAAAACTTCGGGCCCTTTCTGCAGGATTAATAATAAATTATATTTGCTTTACAGGAGGGCCATGAAAGTAGGTTAAAAAAAAAAAAAGTCCTCGAAACTCATACAGCTACTTCCTGCAAGCTCAAGGTGTCCGTTTCTGTCTTGAGGTTTTTTTTTTCTGGGGTTGGGGGTTTTTTTCAGTTTCTTGTACAAACAGTTGTAGTTATCAAATGGTTTGTTACACATTAACCATTTAAGTTGAATCACTACTTTATACCTCCTCAGAACACAAAAGATGCAGGTGTTGATACTTATTATTTAGGTAGTAGGGAGACCTTATAAACGATACAGATTTAAGTAGACAGTACCACCCTAACCTATTGTGATGTTTTAGTGTTTTCTCTAGGATTCAGCCAGGCTTATATCTGACTGCTGCAGGTTGCCTGGAAAACAGACCTTTTTAAGCTCTGCTAGCAGCATAATTTAGAGCATAAGGGCCTTGTACTTGAGCCTCTTGGTCCTCAGAGGAAATCTGAAAGCTAAAAAAGTGCAAGGGAAGCATCAGAGATGACTGAAGGAAATCAGTAGGCGAGGAAGGAAGTCTGAAAGAAAGAACTGATTGCAAGGTGGCTTGAAGGAGCATTCAATGTTGAACTACAGCAGAAGGACCAAAACGAGGACCAGATTTTGGCCCCTTGTTGCAAAGAGGTGGAAACCTTGCATGTTTGCCAGGTTACAGAATTCGATCTTTGACATGTCAACATTACTGCATTACTTTCTTTTTCTTTTTTTTTGTTTTTTGTAAGCTCAGATTAATGTTGATGTCTGCATAAGGGTAGCAGGCTGCTGTTCCAGTGGCAGAGTTTGAAATCACACGAGCTGGCTGTCTCTTGCCACCCTCTGGGTATATATATTTTTATTTAATATTTCACAATGTAGTTGTGTTTAGAGGTATCAAGGGTCATTTACTAAACGAGGTAGCTAAGCTATCGAAGCAGTATTGTCTGCGAGCATAGCCCTCTGCTTGGGCTAATTAGTCTTGCTGCAGTGCTTATAAAGCATGGCTACTTAGAGCAATGCAGCTCTTGGTGTCTTTGGGCTAGTTATGTTGAATAAGCATGTCCTGTACTGGTATATAACCCCTGGAACAACAAGGCCATGGTTTTTATTGGCACCGCTAAGTAACTCTACTAGTAGAAAGTCACCTTTTTCTGCAAGTGCGACTTAATCCCAGACAGCAGGACAGCCAGCCTTGCCAAGTGAATTTCCCCACAGCACATGTGTCTGTATGGTTATCTTCAGATGTAGAAACTGCCAGCTTTTCTAGTGGAGGCAGAATTTACTGCCTGTAATTGGGATATAAACCCACTACACGGATTGAGACGCATGAGAAACATGCAGATCATCACAGTATTGCCAGTAATCCTTCCTCAGCATCCCTTTAATAAAATTATCATGCCAGAGTCCATGTAGTAAATAATATATATTTTTTTAGCAAAAGTAATGTCAGAAAAGATTCAGATGTACCTGGCTTTACAGTTTGGGAAACAGGGAAGGCATCAG